GCTCTGTCACCCAGGCTGGAGTGCAGTGGCACAATCTCAGCTCATTACAACCTCTGCCTCCCAAGTAGCTGGGACTATAGGTACGTGCCACTATGCCCAGCTAATTTTTGTATTTCTAGTAGACACAGGGTTTCACCATGTTGGCCAGGATGGTCTTGATCTCTTGACCTCATGATCCACCTGCTTTGGCCTCCCAAAGTGCTGGGATTACAGGCTTGAGCCACTGTGTCTGGTCCCCAACATCAACTTTTTATTTATGACTTACTGCAAAAAATTTTTTTTTTTTTTGAGACAGAGTTTCGCTCTTGTTACCCAGGCTGGAGTGCAATGGCGCAATCTCGGCTCACCGCAACCTCCGCCTCCTGGGTTCAGGCAATTTTCCCACCTCAGCTTCCTGAGTAGCTGGGATTACAGGCACGCACCACCATGCCCAGCTAATTTTTGTATTTTTAGTAGAGACGGGGTTTCACCATGTTGACCAGGATGGTCTGGATCTCTTGACCTCGTGATCCACCCGCCTCAGCCTTCCAAAGTGCTGGGATTACAGGCGTGAGCCACCGTGCCCGGCCCTGCAATCTGATTTTTAACTATGGTTAGCTTTCTTGCCATTATTTTTTATGATTTATTTACCTTGTCATGGATAAATATTGATGCTTTTCCACATATTGCTTCTCAGTTTGAGTTCCTCAACATGGAATTCTGTTCACGCTTTAAAATTCAGCTCAAATTAATGAAACCAAATACAGTTATTATATGTTTACTATGCACTTTGTTGAAATCCTGCATTTCTCAGGAATTATTCCTTGGTTAACTCGGACAAACATGAACCCTAATCTCCAGGGCTTAACTCAGTGTCTGGCACACACCCTTGTTGGAGCTCAGAAAATGGTACCCTGAAGTATGGCGCTTTGGCATGCTGAGTACTTTAGTCAGAGGTGTTTGAACCAGGCTGACTCCATTTTGAATATGGGCTAGGAAAAATAAGGCTGAAACCTACTAGGCTGCATTCCCAGGGTGATAAGCGTTCTAAGTCAGGATGAGATGGAGGTCAGCACAAGATACATGTCACAGATACCTTGCTGGTAAAAGGATGTGGTAAAGAAGTAGACCAGGCAGCAGGGCATGGTGGCTCATGCCTGTAACCCCAGCACTTTGGGAGGCCGAGGAAAGTGGAGCACCTGAGGTCAGGAGTTCAAAACCAGCCTGGCCAACATGGTGAAACCGTCTCTACTAAAAATACAAAAATTAGCTGGGCATGGTGGTGTGTGCCTATAATCCCAGCCTCTGGAGGCTGAGGCAGAAGAATTGCTTGAACTGGGACCCAAGAGGTGGAGGTTGCAGTGAGCCAAGATCCCGCTACTTCAATCTAGCCTGGTGACAGAGCAAGACTCTGTCTCAAAAAACAAACAAACAAACAAACAAACAAACAAACAAACAAACAAACAAACAAACAAACACCTCTCAGTTCCAGGAACTGCCCACCCTTTTCCTGGACAACTCACGAATAATCTACCCTTATTTAGCATGTAATCAGGAGATGACTATAAAAGTGGTCAGCCAGCGGCCACAGGCTGCTCTGTCTATGGAGTAGCATTCTTTTATTCCTTTGCTTTCTTAGTAAACTTGCTTTCAAGTTTTACTCTATGGACTTGCCCCAAATTCTTTCTTGTGTGAGGTTCAAGAACCCTCTTTTGGGATTGGGATCGGGCCCCTTTCTGGTAACACTTAGTGTTTTTTTCCTTTTTTTTTTTTTTTTTTTTTTGAGACAAGGTCTTATTCTTGCCCAAACTAGAGTGCAATGGCTGATCGCTTATGGCGCACTGCAGCCTCAATCTCCTGGCTCAAGCTGTTTTTCCACCTCAGCCTCCCAAGTAGCTCGGACTATAGATGCACACCACCACACCTGGCTAATTTAAAAAAAATCTTTTGTAGGGATGGGGTTTCATCACATTGCTCAGGCTGGTCTCAAACTCCTGGACTCAAGTGATCCCCCTGCTTCAGTTTTTCAAAGTGCTGTGATTACAGCAGTGAGCCACTGTGCCTTGCCCCCATGCTGAGTACTTTGAACTAAAGGAGATTGGAAAGCCTGAGAAGCAAAGTCTCTGACTCAACTTCTGTCCTGCTGTGTCCCATCCCTCTTCCTCACCCTAAGCTAGTCATAGAAACGAACTCCTCTCCCCTCAAGCAAGTCATGAAACCAAGAAAGATCACTCTCCCGCTTCTCCTTTGAAGACTCATTCCAGAGAAGCCTGCTCTATACCTGGGTAGAAGGAACGCTACGCAGAGAGCTCAAGAAGAATCTGAATAGAAAGGCCTTGCTGGGGTTGCACACTCAGTCTATTAGTACTGGTTCATTCTCTTTTTGTGCGGCCACATTTCTACATGGATGTCCACTTTTCGTTGAATCTAAGCATACCAATGGACAGCTTTCCCCGGGTCGTTTTTTTTTTTTTTTTTTTTTGAGACAGAGTCTCGCTCTTGTTACCCAGGCTGGAGTGCAATGGCGCGATCTCAGCTCACTGCAACCTCCGACTCCTGGGTTCAAGCAATTCTCCTGCCTCAGCCTCCTGAGTAGCTGGGACTACAGGCACGCGCCACTAAGCCCAGCTAATTTTTGTATTTTTAATAGAGACTGGGTTTCACCATGTTGACCTCCCAAAGTGCTGGGATTATAGGCGTGAGGCACTGCACCCGGCCCCCTGGGTCTTTATTTCTGAAGGCTCCTGTGTCACATAAGACTTAGGTTACATTTATTATGCTTTTCTTTTGTTAACCTGCCTTTTGTTGTAGAAGTGTTGGCCATGACCCTTATGATGGGTGAGGAAAGGTTTGGAGTGCAGTGGTGTGATCATGGTTCACTGCAGCCTCGACCTCCCGGGCTCAAGTGATCCACTTTAGCCTCCTGAGTAGCTGGGACTACAGGTGTGCTCCAGGGGCATGGTCTCACTGCTGATCTCAAACTCCTGGGCAAGTGATCCTCCCACTTTGGCCTCCCAAAGTGCTGAGATAACAGGTGTGAGCCACCCTGCTGGGCTTCTGATAGTTTTTAATTTAAAATACAGTTTACAGTGTATTTCACTTTAATCCGTTCCTTGTCTCTAAGATTGCCTTTGAAGTTTAAAATGTTTGAGGTTAATAACTGATATTGTACATGCCTCTGAAGGTATCTGTAAATGATAATGTCCCATGTTATTTTTATTTTTGCATTCCCTTGAGGTAACATTTTATATAACAGCTGTCCAAAGGCCTAAAGCAGAGGATGTAATACTGGGTACTCACGGTGTATGAAGGCTTTCCCAAACCGGAAGTGAGCACGGAGGCTTTGATTTCAGGCAGGCAGTTCCATCCTCACTTCCCCTGAGTAGAAGCATCCTTAAAACTGACCTGCCTGGAAATGTGTCCTTGGGTCAGGGTGTAATGTGGGCTCTTTTCCAGTCTCCTTTATTCCAATGACCTCTTCCCTAACTTGCAAAAGAAAGATGGATGCAACAAACCACCATGGAATGTGTATACCTATGTAACAATCCTGCACGATCTGCACATGTACCCCAGAATTTATAATTAAAAAAGGAAAGGCACACTTCTTCCTCATGCTAAGTCTTAGTAATGTCCAATACCCAGGTATGCAAAAACCCCCAGGACACCAAAGAAAGGGACAATTGACTAGAGAATGAGAATGAGTAACACCTCCTTTCACAAGTCAGCTGGTTTTCAGTTACTTGCTTTTAACAAGTAGAACCAGAACCTAATCAGAGTTGTCAGCTGATAGATCATTACAAGTATTGTTTCTTTGTTAGATCTTTATGTGATTTTTGGGCATATAATTTGAAAAGCATTCAAAGAATTGAGTGGCATTACTATAACAAAACTCCATTCATTCTCATCTGCTTTTTTATGCGAACAAGTTTTCTCAGCACTTATATCCATGGAATTGGAAACTTGGAGTAGAACAGATGCTGAACTCTTTCTCAGAAAAATCATCCATTGAAGATCATAACGTATATTAGAAAAAAAGTCCACCCAAGTTCATTTCTGCAAGATACATTAACATTTTGCTTTTGTGTTTAGTACTTACCAATATTTGAAATAGATTTGATTAGTTGAAATAGGCGCTTTATGATCACTGAAAATGTAAAAAACAACTCACATACTTCAATTTATGCACACATTTTTATTACAAGGAAATATGTTAAGATGATCAAAATGCAGTTCAAATATAAAATACATTATTAGGATAAATTCTAGAGGGGATATGGAACATCAATATGAGTTCCAGAATACAATATTTGGAAATTTTCCAAATATAAAAAAGACTATTGTTAAAAAATGGATACTATTGGGTATTAACTCTCTACAGTATTTAGAATCCACTGGCTCTACAGTATTTAAAACATGCGACAGTTGAAATATTTCTAATAAGCCGGAAGAAATGCAGCTGTCATTGTAAACTGCGTAAGAACGTACACAGATTTGCAAAATTGTTTTAGAAGGCTCTTGAACTAAAAAGGTTGAGGACCTTGAACCAAGATGTTTGCTGTGAGTTCAGGGTGTCAACCTCCCCGAGGGTTGAATAAGGGTGAATTAAGACCTGTCGCCCTATGTTGCACATATAAATTTAGTACCTTGCACCGTAGTGTATTTTTGCCCATTTTTTAAGCGCCTCTCTTCGTAGACGGCAGGCTCCTTCCATTCCTGGCGCAGCGCCTGTACAGTGGGGACAATCCCCAAACACCCCCGGAATGAATGAGTTCATCGTGAGACCTCGGAACGCTGTTAAAATCCCCGGCCAGCGTTGGAGTTTTCGTTCCGCGTGTTCCTGGGCTTCGAAGCCCGGCAGGGCGTGGGAAGGCCCCGAGGAAACCCTGAGCACTCGCTGGGGCTGGGGCTGGGGCCGGGGCAGGGGCAGGGGCCGGCGCCGGGCGGGGGCGGGGGCGCGGGCGCGGAACTCGCGGTCGGGGGAGGTGCCGCCTCGTGCCGCCGCGCAGGCGCGCAGCCGTCTCCGCGTGAGTGCGCGTAGTCGCGCGCCTGTCCCCGCGCGGGCTCCGTAGCGCGTGTACAGGCTGACGCAGCTCGGGGGCCCTCCTCCTGCTCTGCAGCGGCTCGGCGTAGTTTTGGGCGTTTGGGAGGGGGCGAAGGAGCGAGAGTCGAAAGAGGGAGGCGGCGGCGGCGGCGACGGGGAGGAGGAGGAGGAGGAGGAGGAGCAGGCGCCGCCATGGCCGCCGCTATCACCGACATGGCCGACCTGGAGGAGCTCTCCCGCCTGAGCCCTCTGCCCCCCGGCAGCCCTGGTTCGGCGGCTCGGGACCGGGCTGAGCCCCCCGAGGAGGAGGAGGAAGAGGAGGAGGAGGAAGAGGAGGCGGAGGCCGAGGCGGTGGCGGCGCTGCTGCTGAACGGCGGCAGCGGTGGGGGCGGCGGAGGCGGCGGCGGAGTGGGGGGCGGCGAGGCGGAGACGATGTCGGAGCCGAGCCCCGAGAGCGCCAGCCAGGCCGGGGAGGACGAGGACGAGGAGGAGGACGACGAGGAGGAGGAGGATGAGAGCAGCAGCAGCGGCGGGGGTGAGGAGGAGAGTAGCGCCGAGAGCCTGGTGGGCAGCAGCGGCGGGAGTAGCAGCGACGAGACCCGATCGCTGAGCCCCGGAGCCGCCAGCAGCAGCAGCGGGGATGGGGACGGCAAAGAGGGCCTGGAGGAGCCCAAGGGACCGCGGGGCAGCCAGGGCGGCGGCGGGGGCGGCAGCAGTAGCAGCAGCGTCGTCTCCAGCGGCGGCGACGAGGGCTACGGGACTGGGGGAGGCGGAAGCAGCGCGACCTCCGGGGGCCGGCGAGGCAGCTTGGAGATGTCGTCGGATGGGGAACCGCTGAGCCGCATGGACTCGGAGGACAGGTCAGTGCTCTGCAGCGTTTCCCCTTCCCTTCCTCCTCTTGAACTCCCGGGCCCCTCAGAGGGGGACCAAGGGGACTTTTTGCCGTGATCCCCCCTGCTCCCCGAATCCTCGGCCCCTCCCCCAGGCTCTCAACTCGGAAATCTTTCTCCGCCGCCGCGCCCCTCTCGCAGCGGATCGCGGCTTCCAACTCTCAAACCGTTCCCCCCCAACTCTCCTTTCCCCGCCCTCTTTCCCCTCGGCGCTGCGCTCCTCACGGACCTCGGGACGGCTCTAACTCGGAAACAGTCCCCAGACGGGCCCAGATCCTCTGGCGGAGCAGAAGAGGGCCTTGATGTACACACGTCGGTACTCAAGGTTAGCTTCATCCAACCGTGTTCGGGAACACTTGACAAGTGTTTCCAATATGGCTGGTCTCGCCTGGATTTAACAGAACTTCCTTGTCCAGGCGAGAGACCCCAGCTATCACTTTTCTCTACTTGAAAACAGGACTGTTCTTTTATTTTAAGTCATCGCCTCCCAGATCCCTCATTTATAGTCAGTCATGTGGTCTCTAACGTGATGTTAACAATCTTTTCTATTTGTTTTGCGAGCATGTCTGGGAGAAAGTTTTAAACACGTATAAATCGTTGTGGAAAAGAATAGTGAATTGATGGTCTTTTAAGATAATTTTGCGGCATCAGAAAGTTAAAATCATAACAAAGTACAGTCCTGAAGGTACAGCGTAGTTTGCGGCTTTATAGTAAAGCTTCAGCGTGAGAGTCATGGTTTTACATGATAATATTTAAAGCCACGCGTTGGAGAGGTCTCGGAAGGAATAAGTATTGTTTTTCTTACTAAAGCTTGTTAGAAGTAAGTGGAGAGTGACAAAAATGAGCATTTTTTTAAAGAACATTTAAAAAGTGTGACAGTATGTGTTTAAATTGTCCTGCCATTACTTTTGATCTCTTTGGGCTAGTTGGATTTTAATGTACTTTTTAAAAAACGAGACTTGCATCGTGCGTATTATGCCACTTCTAAAATGTATTAGCATTTATTTTGACCCATCTGCTTATGTTTTGACAATCAGATTTTTTTTTTTTTATACATGGTCCCCGGAAAAGCATAGCAATGGAAATTTTAGTGGTATATAGTGATTTTTATTTGAGTTTAATGTTGTGAAGTTCTTAGAATTCTAATTAATTGATTAAAAACGAACACTTTAGTTATAATGTTACAAGTAATACAGAGTCCTGGATAATTTGAAAATCCTAGCATTAGATTCTGTTTGACATCAACGTCTAATTAAGAAAATATCTTGGAGTAAAGTAGACTGTAAAAACTTGAGAAAAATTGTGTTGAGGCCGGGTGGCTCATGCGTGTAATCTTTGGGAGGCTAAGGTGGGCGGATCACCTGAGGTCGAGAGTTCAAGACCAGCCTGACCAAAGTAGAGAAACCTGTATCTACTAAAAATACAGGGTTAGCCAGGCGTGGTGGTACATGCCTGTAATGCCAACTACTCGGGAGGCCGAGGCAGGAGAATCGCTGGAACCGGGACCTGGGAGGCAGAGGTTGCAGTGAGCCGAAATCACGGCCCTGCACTCCAGCCTGGGGATGGAGAGAGACTCCATCTCAAACAACAAAACAGAAAAAAAGAAAAAGAAAAATTGTGCTGAACTGTGTAGGCATGGGTAGGAAGGAGAATGTCTTCAAGAAAATTAAAAATTAATGTAAACTGCACTGTGAAGCATGTGCTGTTTTCCGTCTCTAATACTATCACACATCTGAAAGTTGACACTAGTTTATAGAGTCAGCATCTACTACATTTTTCATTTACCAAGTATACATGTATGCGTGCCCAGCATTGTGCAGTTTAAATGTCTGCCATGTCATTCTCACAACTGTGGCGCAAGATAGGTATTATTTTGACTTTGGTTTAACCGATGAAGAGGAAGTTGAGTATCTTACTCAGGACAGTACATAGAGCATGGACATGGTGGAGCTGAATCTGAGCAAAGGTTCTCAAGTCCTCTGTTATTTCCACTTAATAATTCACCTTAGTGGAGTCCTGGCTTGGTGCCTCATGTATGTAAGCCTAGCACTATGGGAGGCCAAGGTAGACAGAGATCATCTGAGGTTGGGAGTTCGAGACCAGCCTGGCCAACACAGTGAAACTCTGTCTACATTAAAATTACAAAAATCACCCTGGAGTGGTGGCATATGCCTATGGGCCTGGAGTTGCTTGAACCCAGGGAGGCGGAGGTCGCAGTGAGCAGAGATGGTGCCACTGCCCTCCTGCCTGGGTGACAGAGTGAGACTCAAAAAAACCCCCAAAAAACAAGGGATATATGTCAGAGTTTTGTTTTTAGTTAGTATCTATTTATTAAATTACTTCAGGAGACAAAGGAATTATTGGCTAAGTAAATTTCAGGAAGTAGAGTTTTGGCTTCATTTGACAGGTATTAGCTTGAATATATAATTTTACATCTTATTTCATAATAAGTATATTGCAGGTCTCACAAATCCAACTAAAGTTAAAACTTGATAACCAAGCAAACTTGGTTTTCTTTTTTTTTTCCATTTTTTGTAAACTTGGTTTTCTTAATGCTTAAACATTAGAGGCTACAAAATACTGTTTAATGTCATCATTTCAGGGTAGTAGATTTGTGACTTGTATGAAGAAGTCTTACTAGTGAAACTGGCTTATGGTCTTGATAATCTTAGTTCTAAAACATCTCCTATTTGCCTTTGAGATTTTTCTACCAGTTATTTTGAATTTGGAAAGGATTCCTAGTTCCCATAAACTGCTGTAGATTACATCAAACTGGATTTTATAGATAGCTTTCATGGTAAGAGAACTTCATTTTTGTAACTAATGGAAGGATAATCTTTTTTTTTCTTGAGATGGAGTCTTACTCTGTTGCCCAGGCTGGAGCTCAGTGGTATGATCTCGGCTCACTGCAACCTCTTCCTCCTGGGTTCAAGCCTCATCCTCCCAAGTAGCTCGAATTACAGGCGGCTGCCACCACACCCGGCTGGTTTTTTTTTTGTATTTTTGGTAGAGACATGGTTTCACCATGTTGACCAGGCTGGTCTCAAATTCTTGACCTCAAATGATTTGCCTGCCTGAGCCTCCCAAAGTGCTGGGATTACAGGCTTGAGGCACCACACCCAACCTCATGCCTGGTATTCTTCTAAATTCTGGGGATACAGCAGAGTATAAAACAAAGCCCTTACCTCAGAGACAATCACGGCACAAATAAGTTGGTAACAGCGAGTAACGTCTATTATGAAGTGCTGTCTGATCTGGAATACCCAAAAGTACTCTATCAATTAGGTGTTAGATGTATGGCAAGAATCTGCAAATGAGTTTTGCAGAAATTTGCATAAGGATATGGTAGACCAAAATATTTCATTACAGCAGCTACATTTTAATCAATTTTCTATGTCTGTGGTGGGCCTAAAAGCCTTCATATACAACCTTTCATTTTAAATTGTTAATATGTACATGCAGAGAGTTATCTTGTAAAAAAAAAGGGAGCTAGGTTTTTTTTAGAAGATAACTAGCCGCATGTACGTATTAACAGCAATTAGAAAAGAAGTGGAATGCTTCCTAAATTTGCGTGTCATCCTTGTGCAGGGGTCATGCGAATCTTCTCTGTACTGTTCGAACTTTATCATGTATAATGCTGAAGCAAGCACACCGGTTTTCTGTTGGTAAACAGTTTTGGAATGACTTTCCTAGTAATGGGAATTTGTTGTGGTGGTCTCACTCATGATGAATTTATTTTTGTGATGAATAGTTTGCATTTGTGAACATAATATATTGGTCTTAAAAACTAAGACCCATTGTGCCCCATTTAGTGGTAAGAAATGATGTTATCTTCTCAGATACTTAGTTTTTAAAAGAGCAGCCTAAAGAGATTCTTGGATTATTTTCTGTAAATTTTGACATGGTACATTCAAATTAGAACTTGAGCCAGGTATGGTTGCTCATACCTGTCGTCCCTGTACTTGGGAAGGCCAAGATGGGAGGATCCCTTGAGCCTAGGAGTTCGAGACTGGCCAGGGCGATGTAGTGAGATCTCATCTCTACAAAAAATGAAAAAATTAGCCAGACGTGATGGCACATGCCTCAATTCCTAGCTACTTGAAAGGCCGAGGCGGGAGGGTCATTTGGGCCCAGGAGTTTGAGGCTGCGGTGAGCTATGATCTGCCACTGTGGTCAAACCTGGGTGACAGTCGGAGCGTATTGTAGAGTCAGTGACTTAAGGTTTTGCGGGAGGGGAGACAGATTTTAGGCTTGGGTGGATGATGAGGGAGAGAATCCAGAAAGTCTGAGACATACAGGCAGGAATGAACCTAGCGTGTTCAGGAAACTCCTTCCTAGATCTAAGGATGCACACTGGACTTGGGAATGAAGAATTAGTCGCTCAAGTGAGGCTGTTCATCCCAACACAAGGATGTACATCTCTCAATATAGGTTAGTGAATCAAATTCTTTTCCTTCTCTTCACCTTCTGTCTGTATAACTCCTAGTTCACATTGAAGCCTTACCTTGAACAGGCTGGTTCCTTGTTAGACATATTGCCAGCATTGAGTTCTTTATTGCTTTCACCACAATATGGGTAATTGTTTTTTTTGTTTGTTTGTTTGTTTTGAGACGGAGTTTCGCTCTTGTTACCCAGGCTGGAGTGCAATGGCGCGATCTCGGCTCACCGCAGCCTCCGCCTCCTGGGTTCAGGCAGTTCTCCTGCCTCAGCCTTCCGAGTAGCTGGGATTACAGGCACGCGCCACCATGCCCAGCTAATTTTTGTATTCTTAGTAGAGATGGGGTTTCACCATGTTGACCTGGATGGTCTCGATCTCTTGACCTCGTGATCTACCCACCTCGGCCTCCCCAAATGCTGGGATTACAGGCGTGAGCCACCGCGCCCGGCTGGGTAATTGTTTGCTATTTATCTCTGCTGCTGGATTGTGTGCTCCCTGAGAAGAAAAGCCATGTCTGTCTTGATTGGACTTT